TTTTGCATCGGGGACTCTTCTATGCGGATAACGCCGTGCGTAAACTCTTTTTGCTTCTCTACAATTGCATCTGCATTCTCCAAACACCAACAACATGTCTACTTTTTCCTCATTGCTAAATTGCACCATTTTCACATAATAATTCTTAGTTTTTTTTAAACCGAACAAATTTGGATATTTCTTGTGACAAAATGTGACAATTTTTTGATACAGCAATAACAACTTACGTTTGTAATTGCACTTAAAACAACTGCGATAACAATGGTTGCCATAGTACTAACATTCATGGCATACTTGTAAAAATAAGCGTTAATCACATTTTTTATTAATCAAGAAATGGTTACTTTAAATCGGTATAACTTAGAAACGGGTAAAGTAAATAAGTTTGAGTAAATAACAAAAAAGTTTTTAAATAATATGTACTTTTGTATGCGCGTATTTCCAAAGTCTCTGCAATCGAATAATTTTTCGACGCGTCGCGACGCCCAGCTCTTTGCAGGCGTCGAATTTTTTAAACTTTAGGAAATATCTGCTTGACCCCGCACTTTGACTACTGTTCACATAAATTAAATATTTCTTTTCATTTTGGACTTATTGGCGTGCGGAGTTTTAAATGAAAAACCCTATATATATATATATATATATATATATATATATATATATATATATATATATATATATATATATATATATATATATATATATATATATATATATATATATATATATATATATATATACACATCGGGAAGTGGGAGGGGGAATTAAATGGGACCTCTATATATATATATATATATATATATATATATATATATATATATATATATATATATATATATATATATATATAGAACATTTATTCTATTAAGTTTAGTTTCAATCTTCTCCTGAAGATGCCAACTTGGCGATGAGTACGTAAAATTGAGTTTCGCTTTGTGGTAAAACGCGTTATTGAGTATAGGTTGACTTGTTGACTTCTTGAGTGGTCTTTAAAATAAATTTAATTGGAAAAGTTGTATTCGTTTCTGAGAGCGCCGTATATCTTGATCGATAGTGAGCATACAGTTCATCACGCTATATTTCTCTTGAGAATTTAATATTATTGATGTTCCAACGATCAGTATAGTAAAAATCACCCACTGTGTATATATAATATATGACACTATAACAAAAACATAGAATTGCAAAAATGTCAAGGAATTTCTTCAAAGACAGAAAATAAAATGTTTTATCAAAATAATAGCAGCATTGGCTTTACGTTTAATTTAAATGTTTCGCAGGTCGTAAAGTAACGACGTTGTGCTAAAATTAGGAAAGGTCTCTATTGTTTTTCTGACGAAAAAAAAAAGAATTTCGGACCGATAACAACCAGCAATAGAATGAATATAAAGAGATTAAAATGTCATATCACTGTACTTGCTGGACTGATACGGCAGACAAATTAATATCTTATCATAACTTTTTGATCACGATAAAAATTAAAAAAAAAAAATAAATGAACGGGAAAAATATATTTAATTTCGAAAAGTGTATGGCGATATTGTTCACTATCTAATGATCCAGATAATAGGCCAAATTTATTAGTTAAATGCAATGGTGTAATCTGATTTTTTCTCATAATTTCCGTTTCCCACAAATGAATACTACTTTCCCATTTATATTTATTTTTAGAAAATGACCCTTTTTATTTCTGATATAGGTCATAATTGGGAATGGAAACATCAGATATAACTTGAGGTACCAGTTTTTCAAAGACACTTCTGTGCTATATTTACAAACCTTCTGCATTCCTCCCGTATCGTTTGTTGATAAATTCAAATTGCTAGTGTTTTGTCAAGCTTTGAACGAACTGACAGAAGATTTATAAGTAGTATTTATAAATAGTTGACACAAAATGCTATAAAACGCCAACCTTCGAATTTAATACCAAAATTGTTACTGTTAAATATTGGTTTTTATTGCTCCCCGTACATTTTCGCCTTTTAGGTATTTATTTAAAAAATCAGAAAAAAAAACCCTGAGCAAGCAAGTCAAAAATTGCAAATTCGTTCAGATTTTCATTGCGTGTCAACCAGACAAATAATATGCCGAAAGTCACGGGATCTAGGAGCAATGCTTAAATAAGTTTCAGATTCTTAATTATAATGCCAAGTTTTACACAATAAATATTTTAATTGGTAAGAAAAATCAGAATTGAATTAGAACATCTCCGAAACCAGCGACATTTTCATGATGCGTCTTGAGCTCAAACACAATACTTCGGTGCCCCTTCTTTATGAATTACCCTGTATATCTGATGTTTCGCAATGTCCCTTACTTAGAGACTTAAATCATAATGTAATTATGTAAAATGCAATGTCTTAGATTAGGTGTTTTAACTTTTTTTTTCCTCTGCCACTTGCCTAATTTGAAGTGTTTATTCACTAAATTTAAGTAAAGGTGATGTCTTTAATTCAATTTCGACGAAAGGAAAATTAAGAAATGCAGTGCCCAGACGAATTTGTTGCTTTTTAAACTCATCCTTACACAATTTACATTTTCGTTGAGTATCTACCTAAAATTCTTTTTTTAAACAAAACTTTAAGGAAGTACAGAAAATGTTCGTCTCTCTGTTTTGGTTTTTTATGTTTTTAACTTTACATGCTTGAAAGTAACCAGATTTTCAGTTTGTTTTTAAAATAATTTATTATCGCATTCAGAACGGAATCATAGAGAAACATGGTTTAGCCAGGTTGTAACTGAAGGATCTTCCAAATTATGTCACCCCGGCGACCTAAAAGATATTTTAAAAACAACAGCGCTAGACCAAGCGTTGCGTCTTGATATTCGCTGCTACGAACTTAGAAAGTAAACCTAAGGCATCATTTTTAACCAAAAATTGCCCCATATCTCCTCGATTAATAAAATAAAAAAGGTCTGTGAGGAAACGAAGAATTTTGAAAAACGTTTTATAACTCGGTCTATGTTGAAGATATCGCCGTGTGGTTTCCACCATTAAATAAATAATCGACTCTATTACACGCAAGTTGAACAAATACTGCTTCCATAGACAACTATATTATATTTTTTGTAGATGGGAAACTTTACTCTTGGAGAATTGAAACAGCATCGCTGACGCCATCTAGCGCGATGTAAGAAACTAATAGAGAAGTTCGGAACCAAATTCCGTCTTCTTCTTCTAAATTCTTCTTCTTTCTCTAAATTCGAAATTTAAAAATGTGCGCGATCATAATTGCAATCGCAATAATTGTAAATTTTAATATTAAGGGTAAATAAATCTAGGGAAAAAATGGACTGACGGGATTTTTTGTTCAGCATCTCAATTTTTGAGGATAAATCTAGGAAAAAAAAAGAAATCATATGATTAACAAAATATTGGTTGAAATTTAAAAAATAACGACTTTAGATTTATGGTTTATTCAATTCAGTATTAACATCATCCAATACAACATGCACATAATTAATAATTAAATGTAGTAACTATTATTGTAGAATCAACCTATTATGTCTCTCCGAAGGAGAAAGTAATGTCACTGTATGTCACCATAACATTTTTATGTTATGGTTCCAATGTACCTACATATTATTCTCAAGAAATATTATTCTGTTACATACGAGCAGAAGTAATTTGGGTACTACATCCTTATACAATTTTATTACTCTTTAAGTATCGTCAACCAAAACACAAAGGGACCTACATTGGTTTTTCTTATTTTTGAGCAGCGGTTAAAGATTTTTTTGCTATTCTTGTGCTAACCGAAGTTCTTTTTTGGACAATATGTATATGCGAGCAGGTACCATTTAACTATGTTACGTAGATATTTTTTCGTTTTAATTATTGAGATTTTTACAAAAAAAAGAGATAAGCCAATTTGTGATTTTTTAGAGTTAAGCCTATCGGTGATATTTCATGATTCATTCATTCATTCATGCATTGCTCATACATTTCACTCTTTTTTGAGAATTTTGAGAATACTCCTTGTGTTTTAAAAAGTCCTCCGCGTCTTCCTCTTTTTCACCAATTTTGAAAAATCGCTTTTTGCAGTCACATGTTTGTTTTCCAATTTTCTTCCCTAGGTACCCAGCAACATATCTGCTCTTTCCTCAGTAAGTTTTAAAGAAGTAGGTAAATTTGCAGGTATTTGTGTGAACTGCGGAAGCGTAACGACCTCATCTTCTAGAAGTCCCTAAAATTATTATTATGACATATTATTATATGATTAAGTTTATGACATATTATTATATAATTAAGTACCTGCGATATAAGTCTTTGTAATGTGAAGAATAATTCTGATTGATCGTCTTCACAGTTGTTTCCAACAGACTGCTTGAAAGACATACCAGTCACCAAAAGGCTCTTATAATAACTTTGGAAATCAAAAACTGTAGGGTTAATATTCCGAATTTAGACTATCAATAAAATTAAACCTGAGATGAGAATAAGAGAGTGCTGCCTTTATGCTTTTAGTTGTACTTACCCAAAGAAGCAAAATCACTGCAACCAGAAAATGTTCAAAAAATCCAAAAACACTCACTGCTACGCAAAACTAGTCATCTTCACAATGTGAATACCCAGCGAACACGGACCATAGATGCGGACGGATGCGAATTTTAAATTTAACCCAATTTCTGTCAAAATTCATCTGTTTGCAGCGCCCCTGGCGGGATGTAAGCAATTAAACACGGTCTGAAATATTTCGGAGAGTGCCCAGGGTATGACCGCTTCCAACTGGACATAATATACTGCTTGTGCTTAATCCAGTGAAACTTTTGGAACTATAATTTGGTACAACGGCAGTTTTGGACTGTTTGGAAAATGCTCCACTAGATGCCACTATGATCTCGAATTTGATAATTTCCTACTTTTATGCCGTTCCTGAAGTCAATTTTATTTCCAATTTCGTCGCGAGTCTGCATGCTCCCGTCTCGTACAGAAGCGCGGCCTCATCACGGTTCTATTTTTATTTGAGGCAATATACAATGTTTTTTCTTTTTTTCAGAAATATGCGGCTCAACACGCGGCACCGAATTCCGTGATTCTCGACCCAAGACACCAAAAGTCGAATCGGCAACGATGAATCACCGCTCGTTGATAAGATTAAAAACATTTGTTGTTATGGTGCGGCGATCCAGTGAAGTGTAGCGTGACGTTTCGACCTTTCGTGACATCATGCCGGGTCTCGTCGTGTTCCGTAGGCGATGGAGCGTCGGTTCCGATGACATGGTCGTACCCGGAGCCTTTTTGTTCACTACTCATCTAATATGGTAGGTACGATAAGTCTTTTCTCCTGGAACAACTTACATTTGAAGTTCATTTCGTTGGTTTTTTTTTAATGGAGCGCGTTATATATGTTTCTCACAAAATTGGTTTGTTTTTTACAAGCCCTTCACAAATATATAACAGTATTAATAGGGATGTCTTAATAAAAAAGGACAAAATTTTAATTTTCATCATTTGCATTCGAAATTTTGCTGTAGACTTATTTACTGAACAACCTCTAGTCACACCGGTGTACATATTTGAACAATTTGTTCCAACGAGGATCGCAATTTGGAACTAATTTTAGATAATAATTTCAAATTTAAATCTCAGATATCAAAATGGATGCAAAAAGGCTATTCCAATCTTGAAATGCTATAGTAACTAGTGTGTTTTTCTACTCCCATCTGTAAAATACCTAATTACACACCGATCTAGCGTGCGGGAAGCGTCACTTTACCACGTCAGTTTCGTTTCCCACGAATCCGAGCCACTTCGGACATTTCCGGGATTTTACCGCACGGATTTGGGAGCAATCGGATGTTTTCGTAGATATTTCCGACGCTTTGAATTTTGACGTTTGTGAATTCTGACGGTCATGTCAGTGAATGTATTCCTGTTGCTTTGCGAAAAGCTACAAACTAACGGTCGTAGAAAAAGTATAGTATGCAACATGTTCGGTAAACTTTTTAAGTCACTCGTTTATTAAACACTCGCTCCGCTCGTGTCAAATAAACTCGTGAGTCAAATGCTGTTTACCGCACTCGTTGCATAATTTAAATACAGGGTGCGGCAAAATGATAGGTACTATTTGAGATGTTAATAAAAACCAAACTAAATAAAGCATAATATAATAATAATAATTTTCAGTGGCATTCTTTAGTAGCTCATGCACTCACAAGAAAAAAATAATTAAATTAAATTAAATACAGTTTTCATGTACGGCTCCAATATTTCACAATGTGTCATTATGTTTCGTTCCTGTGGAGACATTTCTACTGCTAGACACAGTCCATCCCCACACTGCATCCTTCCATATTGCTCATTTACAGTATGTTTATTGCCAAACCCTCCTCTGTACTTAACTAGGTAGTTTTAGTACATTCAATAAGTCAAAAAAACAATATACGTATAGCTTCATATTCGGTCTTACTCTTTTTCATGTCCGATGTATGTAGAAGTGGGTTTCAATTATTAGATAAGTATGACCTTGGGGTTTTGTAGAATTGTACTGTCAATAGACTCCGAACTGACGTTCTTCCAAACTCCAGCAGTTATTTAAAAGTTGTCAAGTAAACTTCTTATAGATGTTTACTGCGGACTATGCCAGTTCCATCTCTAATACTCTAATAGTCTGCGTTTCGTAAGATGCATTTATTTGATAAATTGTAGACGATATCGTTAGCGTATGGAAGTATTTGTACCTTTGCGCGTTGCCAAAACGCAAACGAGTAAGATGGTACTCACTGTCAGACGCCGAAAATCAAAATTTATGCAGTCCCATAAAAACGAAAGTTTTTTATGTTGCGTAGGACGTTTTAACGGTCGTCGATATATCAGGCCGGTTATTTTAGCAGATTTAACTCCACTAGACCTGACAGATAAATCAGGTAAATAGACTATTAAGAATACGTCCCCGTTTATAAATGATATTCCGGTAACTATTCGCGTCGTTTAAACAATTAAAACACGCTTCCCGATTAAATAAATATTTTCGTAATCCGGAAAATAGGAAACAATCGTTCGACGCCGTTTATTTTCGTTTTCATTACGTTCCAGATTTTTTGTTTACGCCTTGTACGTAAACACCGAATCAAAATTGGTTTCCTAAGAATAGAAAATTGCATGTGTTCCTTAAGTAAGACGTACCTATTTACAATGACCTACATATCTTTATTTTTCTAAATAGTCAGTTAGTATAGTCTTAATTACGCCGGAAACATCATACAAAACAAACGCCACCTGTTCAACGTCTTATTATTACCTAAAAAACGCATCCCATTGTTCAAAGTCGAACGCACGGTCAAAACTTAACATTACATTTAAATGGGCAAGCAAAAGCGGTGAGCAATGAACACACGAAAGCAGTCGGGACCGTCCCATCCGTCGGATGCACTGCGATACCGCGGTCCGTCTCATGCGGTGTTGCCAATGCCGATGTTATTACAGAACTATGTAACCGTCCCACGTCATTTTCGGCAAACGAAAAGGTGTGTATTATGTAGAAAATTATAAATTTGGTTGTAAGTCATCTGTATATTGTTTCCAAATGATTTCATTTACTATTTTATTTGACTGCAAAATCATTCTGCCATAAAATATATTAGGCAGTGCTAATTGGAAATCTGGCAATATTGTGTACGATATTGTTTTTGTTTTGGCGTTCGCAAGTCGCTAATAGAGAGATTATTCGTTTTGTTGGTTGTTGGCGTGATGTGTAATGAATGTCGGAGCGTGAGTGCAGTGTTGATGTGAATTGCATTAAAAAATTGAAGACTTTGGCGTCATTCACCAGAAAAAGTTTTGTCGAAAAACAAAAAGTTATAGAAGTGGGACGACCGATTTTTATTTTGTTTGAGTTTAAAGTTAAAATATGTTAAGTAAATTTTATAATATATCCACGTACATTGTACATAATAATGTATTGTGTTGCTGTGTGTAATATATGCGTTTCTTTTGAGTTTTTCGTTTTTTTCTGTTGCCTACTATACGCTTTATTTTTTATGTCCTCTATGGGAAAACATAATTAAGGCGTGGCGCTATTCTTTTCCCTCTTGCCTACCCTGCAATACATTGTACTGCACGCCGCTGTCTGGAACTGTCGGAAGCGTATGAACTGTGTCGGCGAATTCTTAAAAGAAATAGGTGATATTTCGATAGACGATATTCACTCCGTCCTGGCAAAACTAAGTACAAATAATTTCGGCTTATTTGGTGCCATAGATTTCTGTTATTTGACTTAACAGTCCTAGTTTTGCCCAGTTTTGTTTACCCAGTAAGTTACTGGAGATGTGTTGTTGGCTGGTTAGTTTATATTAAGGTAAACGATGCGACTAGTGTGGCTTATATCGCCGGTGTGTGTCGCCAAAGCTAGAGGAGGCATGGTGTTGTCTAGTTTGGTTTACCAAGTAAGAGGAGTCTTACTAGGGGTGTTATTGGCTGGTTCGGTTTACACGAAGGTAAACTTGGTTAGTAAAGATGGCCGGGTGAAGGTGAAGCTGCCGGTGTCGGCGCCCTTAGCTTTAAGTGGTCGATATTTTCCCAGTTTCCTTTTGGGTGTTTAGTTTTGACTCACCCATCGGTCTAACCTAAACAGCTATAATTCCGTCATTCGTAATATTGTGGACCCATTGGTATTTTCCGAAGTGAACGTAACGCGAACCGGCGAAGATAGTCTGTCTGGCTTTATAGAAGCACTGGTTAAGTCAGATTTTGAGTAGCTCCGATGGTTTATTTTTGATTGGCTATTTTGCAGTTGATCTAGCCCTAGTCTAACCCTATGTCGCCTTGCTCGCCATCAGAATCCTCCGCCCCACCGGGTTTCTATTTCTATTTTACTATTTATATGATATTATTTCGATTATTTCTTATGATCTCCGAAGGAGAGGTGATAAGGTGTTGTATTTAACACTAACTTTACTTTCATTGAACACGTACTTAAAATAACGCAAACCCATCCAAATTAGTGCATTAGAAAGTTTCGAAGTCTTTCCAACGTTTCTATATGTGTATATATAAGTCAAAACGCGCCTAGCTACTGTGCTACTATAAGAATTTAGAGCATAATAATTTAAAGCATCAAATAATACAAAATAAAAAATACCGATCATTATTAAAAACCTAGATTAATTTATCTCTAATTCCATAAAATGCTCTTAACAATTTGAAGCCTGAATTCATTATCATTTTGAAACATAACTGATATCTTAATATGTGGAAGAAGTTTAGAACATTTGTTTATTTATATTTAGTGGAAGGTTTTATTTTATTGCATTTTGGTAATCCGAAAATCGATATCTGCTTGAGCATATTCTCAACGCATGGCGTAGCCTATCGGCTTTCTCTGTCGAAAAGGCCACTAAGCTTTACGCTTAGGGTGATTCTTCTTAGAGTTAGATCAATAAATGGTCTGGTTATTTGTTCATTACACTGCATGTTGGCAATCATCAGACAAAACGTTATAAATATTGTTAAGAATATGCTGTGTGTGGCAATTTCCATGAAAATTTTAAATATGTCGACAACAATGAGATATCGGATCATCAGAGAAGAAGGGCTTAGGAATTTACTTCGCAATTGTTTGGTTTCGTTTTCTGTTCCGCGTAAACAAGTTGAGAAATCCATTACTGATTCCCTGAATAAAGCCGCCAAGTCAACTCCGCAACTGACTAATGTAAACAAAACACAGACAATCTGTCTAGATTACGGACGTGACTAGTTTGCCGCGCAAATCCAATTTTCAGCATACAGCCTGTCTAAAATAAGTATGACAATGTCGGTTAGAAGTGGCTACAGTGACTATTAAAAAGGTTTGACAATCTACATATCAGCAATATCATGTTGCTGCGGAGTTATATATATATATATATATATATATATATATATATATATATATATATATATATATATATATATATATATATATATATATATATATATATATATATATATATATATATATATATATATATATATATATATATATATATATATATATATATATATATATATATATATATATAGCAACATAGGAAAACTTGAAAGTTTGTTGCCATGTTTCTAGTTCTACATTTCGTTTTTGTTCTAATATGCGTTAATGTTTCATCCCTAAAAGCAAGATAATTGATGTCCACACCATGAGGAGTACTCTTCATTTGGTATTTCCATCTTTTTGTGAATGCGGCTGTGAATAATCCTTAGATATGAGACTTGTCATTAAAACTTTGGGAGCTTCCCCCACCATTGTTGAAGTCGGTACGCCGATGAGTAAAAAATAATTGCAAGA